GTGCCCAGTATGAGTGTGGTGGTGTACACCTTTAATCCTAGCACTCAGGAGGCAGAGGCAGGAGGATCTCTATGATTTCAAGGCCAGCCTGGTCTACATAGTGAGACCCTGTCTGAAAAAAAAATGAATAATAGGTTGGGCAGTGTTGGTGCCTGCCTTTAATTCCAGCACTTGGGAGGCAGGTGGATCTTTGTGAGTTCCAAGACAGCCAGGCTGTTACACAGAGAAACCCTGCCTCAAACAAACAAACAAACAAACAAAAAACAAACCACAGATAGATAGATAGATACCTTACTGTATAGTTTCTTCTCTGGAGAAACCTGAATGTAGAAGCCATGTTTCTGGGTCTGTTTTTGCTTAGTCATGGACCATGTTAGATATGGTGCATGGCTTTTCCTGACCTGTGTCCAGTATCATCCTTCCATGGCCTCCTCAGACAGTGATCATATCCCTGATGCTCTGTAAGGATACGCTTTGTGTCCTTGGTTTCATGCTCCTCCCCAGCCCTGGCCCTGTAGGGTAGAGGATACTAGCAAGGTAGACCCCTATCATTATTCTCTTTATAAGGGAATTAGGGGAAAGCCCTTGGTACCTCTAGCCCCAATACATATATGCACACTTATTCTCTATGTAGCAGGGAGTCTTTAAAGTTTGTTTGTTTGAGACAGGGTCTCCCTATATAGCCCTATCTGACCTAGAACTCACTGTGTAGACCAGGCTGGCTTCAAACTCATAGAGATCTGCCTGCCTCTGACTCTGATTCCCTAGTGCTGGGATTAAAGGTGTATACACCTTTATTCAAAGTTTAAGCCATGGAGATGGTACTCTTCCTTAGTTTCCAATGCTGATGCTTAAAACTGCTTTGATCCTTCTTAATGGGATTTGGAAAGTATGATGAGTGTAAGTTGATATTTTTCTCTTGTTCTGTATGCTAGTACTGAAATTAGAAAGTGAATTTCAGAAGACACTGTTTGATGCCTGAGATCAAATACTTCATAACTCTTATAAAAAGAGCAATAAAACATTAATTTTGAGAAAATGACATCCAAGATAAGGGCAAAGAATATTCAAAGACACCAAGCCAGGACATAAAAAGAAACAAAACTTGAGTGGCTAAGCTGAAATTTGAAAGCCTAGATGGGCAGAGGGGAGTGATAGAAGCTCACAATGGCTCTCTGAGAAGCCTGGAGCCAGACTTTATTGTATCGTCCCAGTGTGGCAGGTGGAAGCATGTGTTTGGTGGGACCACTCCTCTTTAAAAACAGTTTACCATTGTGAAAGCATATCAGCATTGTGATGTGACAGTTGCCAAGTAAAGTTAACATTTAAATACTTGAAAAATCATAATATACAAGCACTCGCCTGTACTTGGACCAAAATAGGCAATAGCACCAAGTGGTACAGAAAATCAACATCATTTGAAAGCTCTATCCCACAGGTAAGCAGTGAGTTAGAGAGGCTAAGGGGAGATTTGTAGGGAAAGTTGTCACAGATGAATATGAACATATGGTAGATTATGACACAAGACACATGAGGTAGACCTGCAACCAACCAGTGGGCATCTGCAGTGGTTGATGGGAAATACTGCCTTTTGACAAACACATAACCCTTTTACATTCGTGCAACAGAGTATCTGGCCTCCGTTTTTCTGTCCTTAGAATATAGGCTGCCAGCTCCTACGTACAGAGTAATGAACTAAAAGAGAAATGAATATCAGTAGCCTTTTTTGTTAGGTATATTTAAAATCAAATGTGTGTACCCCTCCCAGAACATTCACATACTACAGAGAATGTGACAAAAGCATACTCTCCCACAAGCTTAGTTGGTATACCAGATTCATCACTTAGGTACCATGTAGCCTTTGTCAAGGTTTCCCTTAAAATTAAATAATGTAAGGGATTTCGGTAGCAAATTAAACTTTCAGATACTCCTTCCTCAGTCTCTCCAGGGCTGGGATTTAGATAATGGTTTTTGTGACACACATCACTTCCTGGCATATGCAGTAGGGATCTATCACGAAGTTACTGTTACAGCTTTGTATGTGGTAGCAGACATGTTTTGTTTCTGTCTTTTGGTGGGATTCCTAACCAGAAGCTAGCCATTTCTTGCAGGATGTGGCTAAGGAAAACGGCAAACTTCACACTGCTATAGTGAAAACTAATGTGTTTATATTTTAAAACCAAAAGAGTGTGCTGTTGAGTGACTTAGGTTTCAAGGAATGTTTGACTCCACATGTGAGACAACCTAAAGATTAGAGTTGGCCTTGAAAGGTTGGTGTAGCCAAGTGTATAATCTTGCACTTTTGCCCTTTGTTTACAGAATGTGCTACGATATTCCTGGCTATATGATCAAATATTTCTTAATATCCTTTATAGGATATAAAATTTATCTTCCTCTTGGGAACACAGTAAGTGTAATCATTCATTTATTGCTCAGACCATAACAACTCTTAGGCAATCTAGTACATGGAATTTCAGACTTGTCCACAATTAAAGTATGGGTCGAGTATTCTCTATTTGAGTGTTTTAGGTTACAGGATTTTTTTCTCATTTTTTTCTTTTTATATTTACATATGTGACTTAGGCCTTTTCAAATTCAATGATGTTTCATATACACTTTATGTAGCCTGAAGGTGACCTTGTATTATACTTTTAATGTACCCACATCCTGACATGGGGTGAAGTATGGAATTTCCTAGTGGCGACATATTGGCATTCAGAAGACTACAGAATTTTTGTAGAGAATATTTATCAACATATATTTATATAGACACATATATGAATTTTTTGTCTTCATATATATATCACATGAATGCCTGGTGCCCATGGAAGTCAAAAGAGGGAATTTGGTCTACTGGAACTGGAGTTACAGACAGTTGTGAGCTGCTGTGTGGATGCTGGGAAGCAAACCTGGGTCTTCCAGATGAGCAGTAAGAGCTGAGCCATCTCTCCAGTCCCTAATTTCAGATGTTTGATCATTTCAAGTTTTCAGATAATGTTCAGACTTATATGTACTGTTAAAGCCAAGCCAGCTGATTGATCAGTGAGTATCATCTTTGGATATGTGAAAACAAGCACTCTTTATATTAATTTGTATTGCTATGTCCTTATGAGGCCTAAATGAATCTTTCCACTTATTGTTTGGTGTTTCAAATCACTGGGAAACTTAGACACCTAAAAAGAATAACTTGAAGTATGTAGGATCCTGAATTTTATTCCTATTAAATTAACAAGGAATGACACTTAAATAAAATTTTTAAATGACCTACCTTGGTTGTTCTTTGGCAATAAGCCAGTTAAGTGGAATGGACAGTGGCCTACAGTTTGATACATTTGCGAGTTGCTGATGTGGGAATAAGACTTTTTTCCCCATCCAGACCTGATCTCTTAACCTGGTTTCATGTTCTTTCTGCATATCCACCTGCTAATTTCCCTTTGTTCTTTAATTCTTTTATTTATTTTCTTTTTTGGAGGGGTGGAGTATTCCCATTTTGCCCAGCTTGGCCTAAAATTCCTGGACTCAAGTGATCTTCCCTTGGCCTCCTAAGTATCTGAGGCCACAGGTCACACAATCACACTGGCCCACCATCTGATTTTATACCATGTAACACAATGTCGGAAACAAAACAATCACCTCTTTGCACCAAATCACCAGAAATTACTTTTTTAAAGAATAAAAATCAGCCCCTTACCATTTCTGAAATGCCTGGTAGTTTCTCCCAAGGAAGTTTTCAGTTTACTGATTTATTTTCCACTCAAAAAGAAGGGCGGTGCAGTGAAGAGTATAGGGCAGAGCAGTTTGCGTGCTTTAGTTATGTCTCACTTAAATTTAGCCTATTTGTATTGATCATAGAGTAATAGTAGAAAGCAAAGAGAATTAAGGACAAGTAAATTCAACCATAGGAGCTTATGCATAGCTAGATTAGCTTCAAAAAATGGGGAAATGCTTTAAACCTTCACTGACCTTATTAAAATATATTTCCAGAAATATTCTGTTTGAGCCTTTCTCATGAATTAGTCATCTTGCATAACAGCTGTGGCAATATGATATAATAAAAAGTGCAGTGATTTAGCAACAGGGAGGTTGGGAATTCTCATCTTGGCTCATTCACAAGGAGATTAAATGACATCCTAAAAATCCTCTAGATAAGAAAGCCACACATGAGAGCTGAATCATATGATCTGTCTTTAATAGTCTCCCCTGTGAGTGTCTGCTGGTATGTAGAAACCACACAACATATAGAAAATTTGCATGAGAGTGGAAGCTTCACACAGAATTTCCATTCTTACTCTCGGAGGGCAAATACCACATGAAGAAGGACTCTGGTGTATGTAATGGATTGCCCTTTAGTGTTAAGTAACTTGGAGAATTACTGAGAAAACTGAATCAGCTAGATTGTAGCCTGAGCTTCCAGGAACATCTTTCTGAAGTTACAACACAAAGACTACTGGAAGACCTGTTGCCTTCACCATGATGGGAACCCTAAACCAGGAGGTTGCCTGTCTATTTAGAAAGCTGCAGCTGTAGTTCCTAACCCCAGGAGCACCTTGTCTCTGTTACAGTCAGTGTCAACATAGTAAATGCCTCATGTCCTGGCTCTGACCCAAGTCTCCAATAGGGAATCTAAGTCTAAGAAAGAGTCTTGGGATTCACCTATCCAACCTCTGAGTGTGCCACCTGGGGTTTGGAGCATGTGCCAACAGGCCAGTCCATTGTGTATACTGCTGACAGTTAATTGTGATAAATAACACTTGTATGTTTCTTCACATTTGCAGAGATATTCATGTGTTTTTCACTTAGAGATATCATTCTATTTATAAATATATTGTTTCTGACTGTTTCCTAAGACACTATAAAAAATAACTTAAAATTCAGAAAACTGATTTCAAACTTGGGATTTCCCTTCCAATTTTGTCCTTGTTGGTTTTGTTTCCATCTTTGTCTTTTCCCCCTGAGGACACCCTCCACCTTTTCAATTTGATGTGCTCTTTGCCACGCAGGCCTGTGAATGAAGAGTCAGAGCCCTCAGAGGTCGATGCTGCTGGCCGGTGGCATGGAGTCTATGTCAACAGAGCATCTCCAGCCCCTTCAGACTCTGCAACCACTGTAAAGTCACTGATCAAGTCATTTGACGTAGGACACTCAGGTATTTTACGAAACTACATTCAAATCCTAGTCCACATAGCAAGCTTGTCTCTGCTACTCTGGCCCCAAGTTGATAGAACCAAGAGTTCACTCCAGCTCATGCCACTCTGCAGGGAGCCTTGCTGAGACTGTGAGGTCATGGGTAATGCTGAGGCAGCCTCATCCTTACTTCCACTTCCTGTCGTACCTTTTTATTCCTTTCCTGCTCACGGAATCATCACTTTCAGGGCCACCTTCCTGTGTTCAGAGAACTAGCAAGGATGGCCAGCAGCTTTATCTCCCAGGAAATGAACATCACCTGTGTGCATTTGACCCTGTTGTTAGGAGTCTCAATTCTCCTCATTTGCAATATGCTGTTAGATGCCTTTCTGCTTGGTCTTACATGTGAGCTGTCTGTTGCATCTGATCTCAGGTTGGTTGGCAGCCTTTCCTGGAATAGTCTGACTGACTCCCATTTTCTCTTTGGTTGTGTACCTTACACACAGGAGGCAATTACATATTCATAATTTAAGCATATGCACAAATATGGTATGTTAAAGAAAAATTGTGCTTCTGTTCATAATAGACATAACTTCCTCCTTTTGACTGTCACAAATGTGCTTTGTATTGGAAAACTGGAACAGTGGCTAATTCTAAGATGATCTGGTTGTCTCTGCTAAAATAGCTTCCAAATTGCTTAGATTAAGATTAGACAACATGTTGAGAGGCAGGAAAACCCAGTGAGTCAGTCTGTAGATAGAGCATGAGTCATCAGTAATGATTTGTGCATTAATGTTCCTGTTGCTTCTCCCCAAGAGAAAGCTTATCACATATCCCTTTTCCTCTTCCTCCATTTATGGACGTCTGAGACAAGTTCTCACTCAGCTCACTCTTCCCCTTTCGTGTCCCCAATCTAGCTCTAATGCAGAGGACAAAAGGATAAGAGAATAAACATTATACCTAACATTGTGGGAGTTCTGTTGTTTTGTCTTGAGACAAGGTCTTTCTATGTAGCCCTGATTGTCCTGGAGCTCACTGTGTAGATCAGGCTGACCTATGCCTCTCTCCCAAGTCCTGAGACCTGAGTGCTGGGACCAACTTGTACACCACCACACACAGCTCATCATGAGATTTTTAAGTCACCAAAACCAGGGTAACAGATCAAAAGCTACTATTTGCTGTGTTGAACTGAATTTAAGCATTTGTGTTCTAATCTCTTCTTGACAGGTGCTTCTGGACAGAGTATTTCTGTCCACAAGACTCCCAGAAGCCCTCTGAGTGGGATCCCAGTGAGGACTGCTCCAGCAGCTGCTGTCTCTCCAATGCAGGTATAGAAGAACTCCAGAGGCAGCTCTTTGTGTAAACACCTAGGGATGTTCTTTCCACATATGCATGCGTGCCTGCCTATGGAGCAAGAGAATTTACAGATTAGAGCATACATCCCTCCAGTACTCATTTCACTGTAGCACTAGAGTGTAATCTCTGTGACAACAGAGATACTTGGTATTTTGCTCACTACTAGGTCTCTTGGCTAGCACAGTAGGTGACAGTCATCACATCACAGGAGAGCCCAGTAAATTTCTGTTTACCAAGTGACTGTATCAAAGGAGCTTCAAATGTTACTCTTTATTGAAATAACCATTCTTAGCCAGATGGTGGTGGCACATGCCTTTTATCCCAGCCTCAGGAGGCAGAGACAGGCAGATCTCTGTGAGTTCAAGGCCAGCCTGGTCTACAGAGTGAGTTCTAGGACAGACTCCAAAAAGCTACAGAGAAATCCTGTCTTGAAAAACAAAAACAAACAAAAAGAAATTGATGTCTTGAGGCACTATTTCTGTATGAGAGCATATCAGGATTCATTTCAAAATGTTGGAAATTGCTCTAGTTAGCAGAAAGGAATTTAGTTCAGAGGCTTTGATACTTCAAGACTGGAAGAGATAATAAAGCCTTGTTGAGCTCGTGGGAAAGGCTTTCTGACATCCCAAGTTGCCCCTTAAATGTGCTTCTGTTTTTGCTCGATTCAGAGAATCCTTCACTAACTGTTTACTTATGCCCATGGCCTCTGTCAAGACCCAAGATCAGCTTCGGGACTGTATACTACTACATGTGCATCAAGGACAGCAAAACCCATGCCTCATAATACCCACAGCTGTGGAATCCTCTGCAACCAGAAAGCAAATGCTTCCACAGCCAGCAGAAGCAGAGAAGGGTAGCTGCACCTTCCAGAGTTTTGAGAATGGGCCTGTCTGACAGAAGCTGGGTGACATGCTGAACCAAGCTAAAGGAGTTTAGGAAGTATACTCTTTAGCTCTCCAGTCTCTTATAATAGTGAGCAATGAGGGAGCTGGTCCTTAGAACCCCAGAAGTCAATTCCTAGACATGGGAAGTGTACTACTAAAGAAGGGGAAATGCATTGGCTCTGTCCTCACACACTGAAACACTTGATAAATGTGTTCCCTCCATGTACACTTTGTTCACAGAGAAAGTGTTGTTTCCCAAGAATCTTGACATTCTGTACTCATTGAGGAGTTTTAATGAGGAGACACTTGGTTTCACTTTTGTGGGCTGTGTACTTCTTCATTCTTGACTATGTAATGTTGCTTAACATCTTCCAGGTGTGTACTTACATCCATGCTGACCATTTTTCTATGTGGTTTTGGCTTTTTCCTGTTTATAAGACACTTTGATGCATTTCCTTTAACCTTTATGTTTATACGGAATGCTTCTATTAGGGGCCAGAGAGATGGCTCAGTAGTTACGCAGACATACTACTCTTACAAAGGACCCAGGTTTGATTTCCAGCACTTACATGGAGTCTCACAACTGTCTGTAACTCCAGCTCCAGGAGTCTAATGTATCTGACCTCTTCAGTAGGCACTTGTGCAAATACATAGCAAGCTGCCTGCCTTATTTTGTGTTTAGGGAGTGACTGTTTTGTCTTGTAACATCATAGTTTTCCTTTTACTGAAGAGGTGGTTTTTGCTTGTTTTTCCTAAAGTGTTTCTACTAAAGAGACACTGTTCTATGTTTTCTTTCATGGCTTTAAGGATTTTTGTATCATTTCAATATCTTTCTATTAGCTTATTAAAATATTCTTCCTTATTACCAAGAAGCCTTTATTTTGTTAAAGGGCTGTTCTTTTTGGCAGGGTCTCACTATGTAGTCCTGGCTGGCCTAGAGCCTCCTATGTAGACCAGGCTGGCCTTGAATTCACAGAGATCTGCTCACTCTGCCTCCCAGGTACTGAGATCAAAAGCATGCACCACCATGCCTGGCTTACTTGTTGAGTTTTTAAACCCACAGAAACATGAGTTTGTGTCTAAATGCTCTTCTCTTACCTTCACCAACTCCTGGAAACAAGTAAATCTTTCGAGAAGGGTAATCTTATATGGGAACCTTACCTCATAGTTATTCGTTTTTTGTTTTGTTTTTTGAGAGATGGTTTCTTTTTGTAGCCCTGACTGTCCTAGAACTCTGTTTGTAGACCAGGCTGGCTTTGAACTCAGAGATGCACCTGCTTCTGCCTCCCAAGTGCTGGGATTAAAGGCGTGTGCCACCCCCACCTGGTACAGCTATTTGTGCCCAATATCAGAGTCTTCTAGTCAGTTTATAGAATCCCTGGTACATAGAATAGATGGCACCGAAAGACTAAAACTCAAAACAAATGAGATGGACAGATACCTCAGAGGGTAAGATCATTGGCTGCTCTTTCAGAGGTCCTGAGTTCAATTCCCAGCAACTACATAGTGACTCACAGCCATCTATAATGAGATCTGATGTTCTCTACTGGTGTGCAAGCATACATAGAAACAGAACACTGTATATATAATAAATAAATATTTTTAAAAACTCACAACAAACAATAAACAACAGAAATAGGCGTACCAGATCCATATATTGGTGGTAGTAGACACAGATTTTTAAAAGATGAATTCAGCCAAGAAAATAAATACCAGCACAAACAACAACTATAGAAAAAGAATCCATTAAGAATTACATGATTTAGGCTGAGTGTGATGGCACATACCTTTAATCCTAGCACTCTAGAGGCTGAGTTAGGTACATCTCTGAGTTCATGGCCAGCTTGGTCTATAGATCTAGTTTCAGGACAATCATAACTACACAGAGAAACCTGCCAAAAATGAAATGAAATGAAATAAAATAAAATAACAACAACCTGCCCCCTATCAAATCACATGACTTAAATAAAGACTCAAATGTATAAATTAAGTTTTAAATTAAACATTTACTAGAGACATTTGAGAGACTGACTATAATTTAAACTGAAATGCAGATAATTAGAAGGGAAGAATGAGCCAGGTGGTGGTAGCACACACCTTTAATCCCAGCACTCAGGAGGCAGAGGCAGGCAGATCTCTGTGAGTTCAAGAACAGCCTGGTCTACAAAGCAAGTTCAGGACAACAAGAACTGCTACACAGAGAAGCCCTGTCTTGGAGAGAAAAAAAAGCTGTATAAGGGGTGGGTGTGGGGTGAAAATATCTGTGGAGGAGTTCCTAAAAGGGAAAGGGATGGGATTAGATCTGGCAGGAGAGAGATGTGAAGAGATAATGCCAAGAGTTTTGAGAGCCCAGTCATAGGCAAGAATAACAATGAACCCAAGCTAGAGGTGTACAGAAAGCCACATGTGGGTGCATCAGTTAAAACTGCTAAAGACACTCAGGGCCGGGCCTCTGGTCTCAGGGGAGCCCGGACAAGATCACAGCTTCTCCATAAAGTGACAGAAGCCAGAAGCCAGAGCAACTGAAGGAGAACAATTGCTTCCAGAGATTCCTTCTGACATCTGCTGGTATCCTCACACATGGCACACACACACAGACACATACAACTAATATAAGTAAATAAATAAATATTTTAAAATCTCATATAATGATAATAAAATATTATAAATTATTACTTTGTGCTGATAGCCTTCTGACATCTGCTGGTATCCTCACACATGGCACACACACACAGACACATACAACTATTATAAATAAATAAGTAAATAAACAAATAAATCTTTTAAAGTCTCATATAATGATAATAAAATATTATAAATTATTACTTTGTGCTGATAATTTTGAAAAATCTTAGTAAGTCATAAACATTTATGTTTATTTTAGTAGCCTGGAGTTTAAATTATTTCTGCAAAGGAAACACCAGACCCAGAATGCTTAATAATAAAATCTCAAACACTTAAGTAGGGGAATAACATCAATATTAATCATGGATTAAAGCAAAGACTACAAAAAATGGATGAACTTTTCAACTCCTGGGCCAGGGTGGTTGTATTATTTGTGGTAAGAACAGAAAAGACAGGACAATTAAAAGGTGAGTCTCTCATGAACCTCCATGTATAATTCTTGAACAAAATTTCTCAAATCTAATTGAACAGTGTATGAAAAACATGTCAAAGGGGGTTTACTTCAAGAATGCAAGGTTTTAAGTATTGAGAAGAATCAGGAACTCACGATAGTAACAAAGAAAGAAAATGTGTATTCTCATCATAGTGGGTAACTGCCAAGTGTATTTGAGAAATACCCTTGTGACACTGGCAATTGAACATGCTTGGTAGCTCTCTACCACTGAGCTATGCCCCCAGCCCTTGTTTTGTGTTTTGAGATAGGATTCTGCTAAGTTTCCCAGGCTCCAGGTAGGTCTTGAATTTTTAATCCCTCTGCCTCAACCTTCAAAGTAGCTGGGGTCACCATGGGTCTTGGTTACTCTTCTTGATTTAAACAGAGCTGGAGTATAGTTCTGTAATGAGTGCCTGCCTCATATAGACAAGGCCATGGGGTCAGTCTCCACCACTACAAATCAAAAAGAAAACTCCTAGGTTGTTGAGGTGGCTCAGTAGGTAAAAGCCTAATTCAGGCTTGATCACTAGAACCTAGAGTGAAAGGAGAGAACCAGGCTTGTGGTTCTTCACATGTGATATTGTCCTGTGATCACAACACTTTTTCAGTGTCTTAATTTGGGTTTCACTTGCTGTGATGAAATGTCATGACCCAAAGCAACTTGGGGAGAAAAGGGTTTATTTCATTTTGGAAACTCAGGGCAAGGCAGGAATCTTGCAGAGGCCATGGGGGAGTGCTGCTAACTGACTTACTCCCCATGACTTGCTCAGCCTTCTTCCTTATACCATCCAGGACCACCAGCCCAGGAGTGGTATCACTCCATGTAGGTTGGACTCTCCCACATCAATCACTAATCAAGAAAATGTCCTGCAGGCTTGCCCATGGGCAAATCTGGTAGGGGCATTTTCACAGCTGAGATATCCTCTTCCTAAGTGACTCTAGCTCATGTCAAATTGAGCCAGCACAGTCAATTATGTAAGCTATGTTTTCCTAATTATGACATAAGGTGCCAGTGTCTATTCATGTGTTCTCGTTCTCTCTCTCTCTCTCTCTCTCTCTCTCTCTCTCTCTCTCTCTCTCTCTCTCTCTCTCTCTCTCTCTCTCTCTCTCTCTCTCTCAAGTTTTTTATGAGTATATATTTGTACCATGGGCATGCCTAGTGTTCTCAGAGGTCAGAAAAGGTATCAGATCAGATCCCCTAGAACTGGAGTTACAGGTGGTGGTGAGTTGCCATATGGGTGCTAGCAGTTGAATCCAGCTCCTCTGGGAAGAACAGCCAGTGCTCTTAACCATTGAACAAAATCTCCAGCCTCTCTCTGGGAAATTCTTTAATCTGATATATTGCCAGTAATAATACTTAGTGGTAAATTTTGAATGCTTTTCCATAAGACGTCTTTTACTTTATATACTGACTTTAAAAATAAGATTTCAAAATGTCTTTTGGAAATTGTATTCTACAACAGTTTTGCTATGAGGATCACTGGGAACCATACATTTCCTGCTTACTATCAGTTTAGAGTGGGACCCCTAAAACATGCTCTGGAAAGTTTCAAGATGGTCTGTGCACTATGTGTATAGACAGACAGTGTTCATAACACGTGTCAAGGTCAGTACTGCTGTTCATTAAGAGTGGGTGGAATGAACTATGGAAACTATAGCGGCTAACCCATGAGATGCTCCCCATTATTCTGAATGGATTTTTAGCCATCTAATTCTCCCAGCAATCGCCATGGCACTATCAATGTCACATTGTTTTGTAGCTAAAATACAAAGAATCACATGGCCCAAAGGCATGTGGCAGCTGGTGGAATGCAGGGTCATATGGCCACTCATGCTCCATTTCCCATGTGAATCTGTCAGGGTGGTGGATACAGGCTGACAGAATCCAGCACAGCTCCAGGACTGTGTAGAATTAATTCCAAGATGTATTCAACAAACAAAGCCAAATGACACCCAATAAGTATAGTGGTGTGTTGACATTTGTGTTTTTATAGACAAATGTTTTTGTTTACAGTAGTAGTATAGTAGTAGTAGTAATAGTAGTGGTTTTGTGTGTGTGTGTGTGTGTGTGTGTGTGTGTGTGTGTGTGTGTGTGTATCAATCATGAAATCTGCACTTGTGTCTATGGGACAATACTAGGTATTTAACTCAAGTGTCAAATGTGTTAGGATAACCACACTATTGGTTTTTTCGGTGTTCAATGAAGTATTGCTAACTATAAACATGATGTTGGCTTGCAGATCACCAGAACTTTTTCTGGAAGTAGGATAGACTCTGCCATCCAGCAGTAGTTGCTGGGCAAACATTTAAGCAGTTTCCAACTCTTGGCTATTGTGAATAATGTTGCAATCAGTATGAGTATACAAATATCTCTTGAAGATCCTGATTTCAATTCTTCTGGTTAAAAACCTAGAAGTAGGGTCATATGATAGACCTATTTTGAAATTTTATTATATTTTTTGAGGGAGTGTCTTACTTTGTAGCTCTGACTGAACTCGAACTCACAACAAAGTCTAGGCTGGCTACACACCCATAAAGATTCACCTGCCTCTTTCTCCCAAGTGCTGGACTTAGAAGAGTGCACCACAACATCCAGCTTTAATTTGAATTTTTGAGGAACTTTCATTCTATTTTCTCTAGAACATTATATGCCAACCAATAGTGCGTAGCACTTCTTTCAAAATCAGACTCACTCCTCTCAAAACGCAGCTTCCCCCTGAGTTCATGTCATATTCTGAATCCTTTGCTATCATTTCAAATGTTCACACCACCTTCATCAGGTAGGGATTCTGTCTCAAGAAATTACTTTCTTTGCTCCTCCATAAGAAACAACTCACCACTCATTAATGTTTTTTCCTGAGATGGCGGCAGTTCAGTTGCCCCCTCAGGTTCCATATCATAACCAATACTTATTATTTTCTTTTGTTTTTAAATCATGATCTTAAGAGTTGGAGTAAACTGGTGTCTCCTGGCTTTGATTTGTGTTTTCCTGGTTGGTGATATGAATCATTTTTGTGTATACTCTTTGACCGTTGAAACCCAAAAATGTTCCTCCCTCCCCCCACCCGTGTGTGTGTGTGTGTGTGTGTGTGTGTGTGTGTGTGTGTGTGTTATGTGCATATGTGGTGGATGCATGTCTGTGCAGGTTTGCATATTTGTTTGTGTGTATTTGAAGGTCAGAGGTCAACATCAAGTATCTTACTCATAGCTTTACATCTTATTTTTTGACACAGCGTCATGGAGCTGACCAATTTGCTAGATTCGCTGGCCAGCAAATTCCCCTTTTTCTACACCCCTCCTCATCACTACAGGGTTCTCCTGTCTCTGCTTTCCAGTGCTGAGATCATGGGCATGCTGATCCACCTCACTCAAAACATTATTTTTACATATATCCTTGAGAATGTATGGAATATTCCAGAAAGGATATTCATAAAACAGATTAATAACAATTACCCCTGGGAAAAAGAAATAGGTGATAGAAGTGAACTGGGGATTATCTTTTCATTATATCTTCTCTTTAAGCCAGTTGGACTTACTATAATTTGAAAAAAAATGTTATTTTAAAGGCTCCCTGGGGCATGACCATGTGCTTAAGAATTGTGTCCAAGCACAGCGGTGTGCACGTGTGTACTGCTGTTGACATGTTGCAAGCTCATCATGCTGATGTGTCCTTTGCTTTTGACAGAGACATTCAACTTACAGCACTATGCGGCCAGCCAGCAAAGGGATGGCTCAGCGATTGGATCTGCCAGACCTGCCCCTCTCAGGTAAATGACTGATAACACAAGTACTTTTGTCCTATCTTAATGGTGTTCACTTTTTGTTGTATGAACTTGAACTTGGTGGCATTTATTTCTGCTGATTCTATCCCCTTGGCATGCACATTTTGCCCGTTCTATCCAAATGTTCAGCTCATGCTAGAAGAAATGCCCCCTTCTTGTTGCCCTCCTCAGTGTGTGTGGATGCAAAAGTGATGCCAACTTCACTGAATTTGATTTTGTTTTGTTTTGCTTTTGGTTTTTTGTTTTTCCACACAGGGTTTCTCTTGTGTATCCCTGGCTGTCCTGGAACTCACTCTGTAGACCAGCCTAACCTCAAACTCACAGATCCATCTGCCTTTGCCTCCCAAGTGCTGGGATTAAAGGCGTGAGCCACCACTACCTGACCTACCTTTCTTTCTTTCTTTCTTTCTTTCTTTCTTTCTTTCTTTCTTTCTTTCTTTCTTTCTTTCTTTCCTTCCTTCCTTCCTTCTTTCTCTTCTTCTTTTTAATAAACTTAATCTGAAGATAGTATCATCTATTCTTAAAAAAATTACTAACTCATACAAAAACCCTTGTCTGGTTTTGTTTGTTTACTGATTCCATAGTCCTTAAAATGCACCATTTTTTAGGCTTTTGAGTATTAGCCTCTCTCTCTTGTTTTTAACCCTTTGAGTATTAGCCTCTCCCTCTTGTTTTTAAACCCTTTGAGTATTAGCCTCTTCCTCTTGCTTTTAGGCCTTGAGTATTAGCCTCTCCCCCTTGTTTCACTGTATCCTTTTCAAATTCAAATCCTGACAGTGAAGCTGAGGTCATAATTAGTGGGTCTCATAGGTCACATTCTTATCCCTACCGGCCTCCAGTGCTGATGGTGCAGAGCTGCAGCCATGAAAAGGGAGGTCAGCAAAGCCCTGCTTGGCCTCGAGTCTCTCGGTAGTGCCTCTCCTGTCTCAGCCTTGGCTTTGTTATACTTTGGTTTCTTTGTCTCTAAGACAGAAACATTTCTAGGGCTGGAAAGTTGGCTCAGCACTTGCTGCTCTTACAGAGGACTTGAATTTGCTTTTCGGCACCTGCATCAATACTGCTATCATAACTCCAGGGGGATCTGATACCCACTTCTGGCTGCTGGGGGCACCAGAACAAACTCACACTCACACATATACACATAACTTAAATCAGAATTGACTTAAAAATCAAAAAGAAAAAGAAAGAAGAAGCAACTTTACTTAATAGGGCCATTCGAAGGATTGGATTAATTTATTTAAAACACTGAGGACACTGTCTGGCATGTTATGGGCATCATAGAAATACTTGCTGCCAATCACTTCCCTTGCTGTTGTCTGCTGAGCCTGTTAGCATGCTCAGAAAAAAAGAACAGTGCTATTTGTCTAGTCAATGTTAGTGAGTTTTCTGCAGGTTTTGTTCCAGTCCTCTGCACCAAGATAATATCACAATGAAGTAAGACACAAAAAGTTATGCTTACTCTGTGTTGTGATTTAAGTATGTAGTCATAGTACATCTAAAAATACTCATAGCTTTCTTAGTAACTACATTATCACAGATAATCATCTCAGCCTTCGGCAGCTTAGCATCTTTTTCCTGGCAGAGGGTCTGGCCTTGATGTTGATGTCTACTGACTTTGGTCAGGTGCTACTTGCTGAAGCTGGGTTAATGGTGGGAATTCTTAAAATAAGACACCAGTGATATTTACCACATCATCTCACCTTGCCTTTCCCAAGGGCTTTCTCCCAAATAGCACTTCTTTCAAAATCAGACTCACTCCTCTCAAAACGCAGACCCCCCACCCCCGAGTTCATGACATATTCTGAATCCTTTGCTATCATTTCAAATGCTCCCACCTTCACCAGGTAGGGATTCTGTCTCAAGAAATTACTCTCTTTGCTCCTCCATAAGAAACGACTCACCACCCATTAATGTTTTTTCCTGAGATGGTGGCAGTTCAGTCGCCCCCTTGGGTTCTGTTGCTAGCCTAGTGACTTTGCTGTTTTCACACCTTCAGTGATCCCCACCTTTGACATCTGGGACCCCTCAAACTCATCACTGAGGACTGGGATCAACTGCTTCCAAACTCCCATTGATACTGACATTTTTACTTATTCCCATGAATCACCATGTTCCTAGTGAATCTTTCCAGAAAGGTTTCTATTTATTTTTTTCTCAGATTCATGGGAGGAATCATGATTTGTGGCAACTATAGCTTGTGAAAGGTTTGCTTAATAAAACTTGAAAGTCAGAATTACTTCTTGATTCCCTAGACTGTGGAATGGCATCTGTGTCCAGAGGTTTAAAAATGTTAATAAAAGAACATGAATTTTGTACATCTCCATCAATATTCTTGAGTGACCAGCCAGGTGTGCTCTCAGTCGGCAATGAGGGTTGTGATGTTGATTTTGCTTACTATTATTGCTTGTGTGGGTAATGTATGTATAAATATGCATGTACCACAGCACATATATAGAGGTCAGAAAACAACTTAGTAGAGTTTGTTCACTCCTACTACTTTATGTGATTTCCAGAGATTGAACTCAAGTCATCAGATTTGTGCAGGAAGCACCTTTACCCACTGATATGTCCTGTAGGCCCTGGGCAGAGTGTTGTTGCTGGTGTGTGTGTGTGTGTGTGTGTGTGTGTGTGTGCATTGTATATGTGTGCACCACGTGTGCAGTGCTCCAAGAGGCCAGAAGAGGGCTCAGCCCCCAGAGATCTGGTACAGACAGCTGTGAGCAGCTATATGAATGCTGGAAACTGAACTCAGGTCTTCTGCAAGAACAGCCAGGGTTGTTACCCTTAGCTATCTCTCCAGCCCACAGAGGAGTTTTGAAAAGAATTTTTGCGTGTGAGAGCCATCGACTTCGTTCAGAGTATTGTAAAGAGATGCACTGCGGTCAGCCGTCACTATTTCATTTACAGTGTATAGGCATCCCAGGGCTTGGTAAATGAGTATGGCTACAACTCAGAGGCATTCAAGTCTGAGCACCTCTTTCCCAGAAGTGGAGGGTGGAGGCCAAAAAATAAGATTGAAAACCTGTCTGACTTAAATCTATGCCTCATTATGTAATATCATAGCACACACTCTATTATGCGGTGTAAAATAGGGAGTAACTTACTTGCATGAATAGTACAAGGTGATTTTTTAATTGTAATAAAAGCTATACAACATAAAATGTAGTTCTCTGTAAGTGATTGTAGTTTTTATATCTTTTTTCAGGCTATTCTACCAACTTCCAAGTTTCCTAATTATCTAAAGAACCATTCTTTTGATTGACAAGATAATAATAAAGCCAAGAGCACAATTATTGCTGTGGAGCTCATTGGCTGCCCTCCTCCTTCTTACCCCCCAGGCACCTGTCTCCTGACGATGATTCTATTTACTATAATAAAGGACTGCATAGTGAAAATTGTTTGCTTCCAGCCATTTCCAGCAACTGCTTGTCAACATTGAGGTCATCCCTAACTGCAGATTAATGTTCTGTTTTTGTTTTGCCCTTCAATGATGTAGAACTGTTCTTCTATGCTATTTAGACCTAATTGGCCTCAACCCCAACTTCATGCCCATAATTGGTGGCTATTAGCTGAAGAGGTGCTGTTTTCTTCTGTGACTGGGTGACAGGAGGTGGCCCCAGCCTGGCCCCAGCTGTCCTGTGATGTTCAGCTAACCACCAAAGTCTCAGAGCTCCAACTCCCACTCTGTATGAGCCAGCCTCAAATACTCTCGGCTTTGCTCTGTTCTACTTTTATGAGCCTGTGAGAGCTACATGGAGGATTCCACTCATTTCTGTGCCTGTTCCCACTAATACTAACACAACAGCAGAAAGGAGCCTTACAAAGAAAGGGTTCTGCTCAGTTTTTAGTGAACTATAAGCCTGTAATTGGAATAACTTTTTCTCCTGCGGGCTGCTGTTCTTGGTTCCCAGCTTTTTGTCTGCTGCTGTCTGTGACCTGACAAGTCATATGAGACATTTTCCTACCAGCTTTTTCTCTGTGATATCCACAGCCTAAAGCAAACAAGACTAGTTAGAGACAGAGTTAGAGGAGTGGCTGTCCTCACTGGGTAGCTGCACAGGGCTCTTAGAAGGGCCCATACTTAATGCCTGATCACTGTCTGAAGGGTTAGAATCATTTTTTAACAGAGGACTGCTCTGGCACTGGGCTTTTTATTTATTTCTCTTCTGTGTGGGTGTTTTGCCTGTATGTAGTTTGTGCACCATTTATGTGCCTGGTACCTGTGGAGGCCAAAAGAGGGCATTGGATCCCCCAGAACCGGAGTTACAGATGGTTGTGAGCCACCATGTACGTGCTAGGAATTGAACTCAGCCAGTGCTTTTAACCACTTGGTCATTTCTCCAGCCCCAGTAGATCCTTTTTTGAAGATATATTTTATATTTGTTTGTTTGTTGTTTTTGTTGTTGTTGTGTGTGTGTGAAAATGAGTGTGGATTTGTGTATCTGTGAATGTAAGAGGGGGCCAAAAGAGGATACTGGGTGTTCCTATCATTCACTACTTAATCCTGTTGGAGAAGGGTCTCCCCCTCAATTTGAGGTTCTCATTTTCTTGGCGAAGCTGTGTGCTAACAAGCACCAGCAATTCTCTTTGTTTCCATTCCTATCAAGACTGGTGTTACAGATGTGCACAGGACATCTAGCTTCCTGTGATTTGAACTCAGGTCCTCATGATTGTGCAATAAGGAGTCTGAACAACTGACCATCCACCCTGGCACAAGGTTTTATAGCTTATATGGATAGTCCTGCCTGGAGAATTCTTTCTAGAAAATACCATGTCCCTAATTGCATTTTTATTATTCCAGAAAGAAAAAATGTAAATGTGTATGTGTGTGTATGCATGCATATATGTATATGTAGGAGTATATGCATATATCTATGTAAATATGTCTTTGTACCTGAGAATAAAGTATGATAACCAGTCAGATTTCTTCCCTTTAGAAATGGATGACAATGTTGTTATTCACACAGATCTTCTGAAGGGAAGGGCTGAGGACCGGAAGTCAGACCCTTACCTCCGAAAGAGTCCCTCACTGGAGTCTCTGAGCAGACCTCCCTCCCTGGGCTTTGGGAACACCAGATTGCTGAGTGCGTCCACCGGGGGTCTGAAACCAAGCAAGCTCAGGTACTAAATGTTAAAGTATGAGAAATGAGATGAGCATCGTTCTCTTCCTTCTGTCTCATCCAGTCAGCTTACTTCTGAGTGACAGTGACTAAGATGTAGAATATACCTTCAACAAGTCTAGTAAGAAGGCACTGCATAGTGGTTTGGAACAAAATCAAGTGAAGGGCCATACCTTTTTAAGCAGGGGCCCTGAGATGTAACAGTGAATAAAGGCTCTTGTCGAGCAAGCCTAATGACCTGGGTTCAGTCACAAGAACCCACATAAAAGAGAACCAACTCCACAAAGTTGTCCTCTGACTCCCACATACATACCATAGCACACGTGTGCTGCACGTGTACACACACCAGTAGTGGTAGAGCCTTTAAAAAATTAAAATTTTAGCTAAGAAGAGCTGGAGAGGTGGCCCACTAGTCAAGAACACTTGTTGCCCTTGTACAGGACTCAGGTTCAGTTCCTGACACCCATATCAGATGGCTGTCAATTCTCTAAAACTTCATTTCCAGGGGATCTACCACCCTCTTCTGATTCCAGGGATCTACCACCCTCTTCTGGATTCCAGAAGCACATGTACACATGTGTGGTGAACATACTTACACTCAGGCACACACATATACCCATAAAATAAATAAATCAACCTTTAAAGTGTAAGCAAAAGTACTTGAGGGGTTGTTTAGATCAGGAGGTCTAGAGAGGATTGGGATTCCTGTCAGTAGCTGTAAAGGTGAGTGAGCGATGGAACTCAACCCAGGGCCTCAAGGATGCCCTGCTAAAGGTACAGCAGGCTCCCAGCCAATACAGGTAGACGGTTGGGGAGTTACAGCCATCAAGGCAGGTTGGAGCCCTGTTGCAAATAGTCCACATTTCCAAAAAAGAGCTTCGTACTTATTTTGGTGAAGCAGTGGAGAACCACTAAGTCTGTGGGATTGTGTTTTTGTTTTTGAGTAGTGATTAAGAGCAGACCTACTATTTAAGGAAGATTATTGAGAACACAGTGGCATAGAAAGAGGATTAAAGAGACATTTTCTGAGATCAGCTTTTAAAGGGGTGTTAGCAGAGACGTATAGGATGCAGCAGGGGAGGAAATGAACAGTGAGCCTAGATGGTTACCAAAAGCCTGTCTTTGAACTCATGCTTCTGCCATCTCCTCCCTGCCAGTGCCCCTGGTCATCAGGGTCCCAGCAAACTTACCTCATCTGTTACTCCTCTCCCAGAGTCTCCCCCACTTTTCCATGTTGTTAGTCTTCTGAATAATGAAGCACCTAGTGTCCTACTGTGAACCTCTCAGAAGCCCTATGGCAGTCATCACAGTGCATCCTGCTCTTCTGGGCCTGCACAGTTTAGTGCCATCCCACTCACCTGTGGAAGACTAAAGAATTTGCATTAAAAATAGTAAATATGAGATGGCTCAGTAGGTAAGACCACCTTCTGCGAAAGTAAAGGACCTCAGTTCAAATCCTACCTGGGTGTCTTTCACTCACTTGGTTGTATAGCTCCAGTACTTCCTTTATAACTTGCAGTTGTTTCATGGGTAGTAAATATTTCATCCTACATTTGTATGCCTTTCCCAGTGCCTTGCCTTGTGTTCTACCTAACAGTTCACCCACAGATGAGTTTTAAAAAAAACTCTACTTGAAGGATAAGAGCTTTATAGTAGGTCGTATAATCACACATGTGTGTCTTATGGGAAGGTTTGTGAGTCTGAACACATTCAGATTGGATGTATCTTTGGATGTAACCAATATTTGATCCCAAATAGGTAAAGTCGAGCATTTCAAGAGGTTTATAAAAGTCCCAGATATAGATCATCTGCTTGTCTGAATATTAACTAACAAAACAGGTTTGAAGGACCAGAATTAGTGCTAATCTCAAATCAATGCCATAAATAGACAGGAAAAGTTATATATATATATATATATATATATATATATGCTGTTTATAGTATATCTTTCTTCATAAAAGGTCAGATTGGTGACCTTAGTTTCTTACTTCTTTTACATTTGTGTTATTAAGATTAACCTATGACAGAATAGAAATGTTTAGATATTGTTTCAATTGCATTCATTTTTATTTGTGTGTGCATATGCCACAGTGTGCATGTGGAAGTCTGAGAACAACTTCTACCTAATGTAACTTGTAGCGTAAGTATCAACAAGGTTTGAATTCAGGTTGCTGGACTTAGCAGCAAGTATTTTTACCTTCTGAGCCATCAAACTGTACAAGAAAGTTTTTAGTTCCTATCGCGAGTACTTTCTAAAGAACTCCTCTATGTTAGTTCATATTCCCAAGATCTAGAACCATCTATTCCTCTGTTGCATTTATTGAAAAAATATTTTTATAAAGGGTCTGGAGAGATGGTTTAGCTGGTAAAGTATCTGTTGTGCAAGCATGAAGACCTAAGTTTGGATGGCCAACCCCTTGCCTTGTCTATGACCCTAGTGTGAGGATCAGAGGTGTGGCATGACAATGGTGCATTTCCCAGAGCTCTGGGCAGCCAGTCTAGCCAATTAGTGAGCACAAGGTTCAGAAGAAAAAAGAAACCCTGTCTTAAAAGATAAGGCAGAGAGCAATTAAGGAAGACAGTTGACACCAACCTCTACTCTCCACCCGCATGCACATACAAATGTGCCTTAATGCATACTTTCTCACCCTCTGCACACATACAAAAATTTTCTTACTAAGTTTCCCTCTAAAGGCTTGATGACTTTAGCTTATGAAGTAAACTGGCAGTAGATCAACAAGGAAGACTTGTAGAATTCTGTTAATGTGCAGAAACATGGGACCCATGTACAAAGTGTGAGATTGAAAGAAAAGGTTGACTAGATAAAACCTAAATGTCCTCTTCCAGGAGACAGAGGGAGAGGGAGATCAAGTGGGTTTTAGGAAGGTAGTGAATTATTTTTTGAGCAGATGACTTAGAACATAGCTCCTCTGTGCTCTAGTTATGGTGCTTAACCCAGGTTTTCTTCCTCTATTGATCTGACTGGTAAATGATGACTGAAGGCAGTTGTGTTCTTTTCCTGACTCAATACAAGGGATAACTTTGTGGAAAGTATCTGTCCATGCTGGGAAGGGGAAGAATCCAGGATGGGCAGGTGGGGGAGGGCCCTTTTATTAATTAGCTTTCCATCATATAACCTGAGATGACTAACCTATCCAAAGAAAATGTTTGTTGTAGCTCATGGTTTGAAGGTTGTAGTCCTTGATCTTGTGGTCCTGTTACTTTGGGCCTGTTAGGTAAGGTGGGAACGTGTAACATCACATAACTGCAGTAATTTTTCTTACTATGGTATATTCCATGAATGTGATTGGACCTCAACTTATTCATCTGTTTGCTTGTTGGTGTGTAGTTGGTTATCTTTTTGCCAATATAAGAGTGCAACCTTGAGCATTCTTGGGTCTGTGTCTCAATTATATTTATCTACTTTAGCAGTAGATTGATAACTCCTATTCCATTGTAGTTTTTGCCCTTTGGTGAGTTTGTCTTTCCCTGCCCTGCTGTGGGTATTATTAGGGAAATAGAATACTGTACAAAACTGCTTTAGCAGTATCTTTCTGACTCTGACCTCCATACTAGAAGGTACTGTATGATCTTAAATCTCTTACTAGAATTTGAGTAATTTTGGTTAGCATAAAAATTAATATCATTGTTGAGAGAGGCCAAGGATGGGTTGCTAAAACTTGCTTTTAGGATGCTAAGATATTATACTAGTGGTGTCATCTCAACTTTGGCTCATCCTGTGCTCAGAATCCATGGTCCATAAACGGAGCAAAAATTCTTAGTCAATTCACTTTATTATATGGATTACCCCTTCCTCTTTACTTCCAGAACCTCTTGTAACAACTAGTTTACAGTCTTGCTATACCCTTTTCATTTACCTTTTACATGTTAAAGTACAGCTGTGTAATGTGTAGAGGTGAGGACTGGTTTGTTTTGGTTTGTCAAGACAGGGTTTCTCTGTGTAACCCTGGCTGCTCTGGAAGTCGTTCTGTAGACCAGGCTGGCCTCAAACTCACAGAGATCTGCCTACCTTGGCCTCCCAAGTGCTGGGACTAAAGGCATGTACCACCACTGCCTGGATGACATAATGTATTTTTTAATGTGACTAATTTGGCTATTTTTTTAGTGTTCTATTTGAATAAACCTACACTTTGGCTTTTTCTAATCTAGTTATTTTTTTATATTTAAGGACTTTAAAAGCCAGCATCTTAACCAGGCAGTGGTGGTGCATGCCTTTACTCCCAGCACTGAGGAGGTGGAAGTAGTCAGATCTCTGTGAGTTACAAGCCAGGCTGGTCTACAGAGTGAGTTCTAGGACAGCCAGGCCTCTAAAGAGAGACCCTGTCTTAAAAAACAAAACAAGCAAGCAAGCAAAAAAGCCAGCAACTTGCCAGACGTGGTGGTACATGCCTGTAATCCTAGCACTTGGAATGTGGAGGTAGAAAGATCAGGAGTTCAGAGTCATCCTTGCCTATAGTGTGAATTCAAGGCTACCCTGAGCTGTATGAGTCCTTGTCTTAAGAGAAAAACAATATAACCACCCCACCAGCATCCTCCTTAACTGTGTGTTCTTCTTTGTAATCAGTGTTGAAAGAAGAGACCCTCTGGCAGCCTTGGCCCGGGAGTATGGTGGCTCTAAGCGTAACGCACTCCTGAAATGGTGTCAGAAGAAGACAGAAGGTTATGCGGTAAGGAACAGTGCTGCCAGTTGGGCATTCGTGGTTCTGTGCCAGGACATGTTCCATGTGTGCATGTGCTTGGTAGCCCTGTTTGCATATAATATCATCTCTGTGCTCTCAGCTGACTTCCAGGGAGGGTATGATGTTTGTGTACTGTACTATGCAAAGGCCTCTCGATGAGAGGGGTGGTGGAGGGCAGAAGGCCAGTCTGCGATCCACCCCACAGACTATCTTTTCTGTGAGTACTCACACCTGCTGTAGGAAGGGAAGCTTTTCCCTCACACACCCTGGACAGAGCTGTTGCTAAAGCATCTCCCCCAGAGGGCAGCTCTTCTTCATTTGTATAAAGGCTCCCCAAGTTTTTCCATCTGTTTTTGTTTTTGTAGCTTTAAGTTTTCATTTAGTTTAGTTTTGTTTGTCTAGGGTGGTGTTTACTTTCTGAGAAGAGCAGACAAGGAAGTGATACCTGATATAGGTTTGAACCTTTTTATTATGAAATAATATACACAAAGGTAAAAGTGCATGAATTAGAGTCTCATTAATCATTATGAAATAAAAACCCAGTCAGAAACCGCATCCTGAAGTAGCATCTCCAGTTCCCACAAACCTGTCATGGCTTTCCAGCCAGAGCCCCTGCTGTTCCCTGAGGTACCTGTCTGCCTCGTTCCTTCTCCTGGAGGTTTTCTGTAAAAGTGTAAAGAGCTTTTCTCAGCTTTAAGATAAAAGGAACACGAAACTGTATGATACTTGCATATTAGTAAGATTTGTCCTTTATTGCTATAATTTATTTTCCTTACTATTTAGTCATACATTATGTGATTTTTTTGTCTTTACTTATCTACTCTTAACACTCTTATCTCTGCTGAATATGCTGTTAGGAATGGAGTGCCTAGGCCTTACTACATGCTCATATTCAATTATAGTAGATGATGTCAAGCAAAGTTCTAGTGTTGTCCATTCTACCAGCTGTTTATGGGAGATCTGTTTCTGTGTGTTCTCGGCAGTGGGCTGTTTTCCTCACTCACAGTCTTTGGGTAGAGGTATAGTGGTATCTTGTTATGGTTTTGGTTTTTGCTAGCTTGTTGGCTAGTGAGAGTGAGCCTGTGTCAAGTGGTCATTTGGGCAGCCTCTCTGTAGGGATGTCCCCAACCAGGCCTTTCATCCTTCTGTATTTACTTTGTATTTATTTTCAGTCCTCAGGATGGGACATGGAGCTTCCTACAAAGTTCAGACTCTGTCACTGCGCTCCTGCACATCTTTAAAACAATCTTATCTGCTTTTCTTCATTGTCTTTAAAAGTTCTTTGTATGGGCTAGAGAGATGACTCATGGTTAAGAGCACTCCTTGCTCTTCTAGAGCACCTGAGTTCAATTCCCAGGACCCACACAGTGGCTCACAACCATCTTTTCCAGGGGATGGGACACCTTCTGGTGCACCTGCAAACATGCAGGAAAACAGTCGTATACAGGTAAAATAAAGCATAAATCCTAAGTTTTAAAAATTCTGTCTATACTTTGTATATAAATTCTGTGTTAAATAAGTGTATCACAGATTCTTTATTATGACTTGGAATTTCACTCTTGAGAATCAAAACTCTTTTTTTTTTTGGTTTTTATGAGACAGGGTTTCTCTGTATTGTTTTGGAGGCTATCGGTCCAGCCTGGGCTCGAACTCACAGAGATCCGCCTGCCTCTGCCTCCCGAGTGCTGGGATTAAAGGCGTGTGCCACCACTGCCCAGCGAGAATCAAAACTCTTAATACAGCTTTTCGTATTTATTTTTTCAGTTTGCGTGTGTTTGTGTGCATACATGTGGACACATGGCTGCCACTACAGTGCACCTGTGAAGCTCAGAGGACAGCTTTGTAGAGTTGGTTCTGTTCACGTTTATGTGAGCTTCTGGAATCAAAGCAGGTACTTTTCCTGCTGAGCTCTTAATTTCTACCAAACCTGATCAGTGCCATCTTCTCTCTAGTGGTTAAGTGCTTCTTGTATTCTTCCTAGGAATCATTTATCTGGGGGCCAGGTGTGATAGCACACACCTTTAATATCAATACTCTGGAGGTGGAAACAGGCTCATCTCTGAGTTCTGCACCAGGAATTTATACTAAAGCTTTACTTTTCTATAGTTAGCACTAACTCCTTTTACATTCTTTTCCTTGGCTTCATGTCTACTTTTTGCTAACACTTTGGTAGATTCTGACATTGTAACTCACCTTCCTAAGCTCAAGCTTTTGAAAGTAGCCAAGACTGAGGAAGAAGCTAGATGAAGCCATGCCTTGGCTAAGATTCAGCTCAGTTAGCTAAGAAGCAGAGCTGAGATTCCTCCTGTTCTATTAACCATACAATAGTTTAAAATCAGAGTCTACCCTTTATCTTGGTATCTTTTTAATTCTCCTTTTCTGTCACAAAACTTAAAATATGGTCATGTTCATGGCCAATATCCAAGGCTCCCAGAGGACACACTTGCTTGTAACCCATTTTCATTTCTGTTTATCCCATGTAAGCCCCATCCTAAGGTATGAACTCCCCGCAAATGGAAACCACTTCAATGACAGCATCTCTCCACTTGTCAGCCATGCTGCTGAGGAAGTGGAAAAGCAAAAGGAGCAAGAGAATGTTGATTGTTTGTGTGTGTTGGGGGGGGGAGGTGTGTGTTGGCATCAAGAAAACATGGTAATGGAAAATGGAAGAAAACAATCAAAAAGAATAAGCAGCCTCAGCTGTGGCTGAGCCCAGTGCGGTCATCTCTGGCTGGGTGCTGTCATTTCTCTGCTACAGAAGGGAGTCCAGGGAATGGGCAAGAGGAGTTAAAAGGCAATTACAATTTTCAGAATAAATTGGCCCTTTGTGGCGTGATGTTATAATTAGATGGAGGGAAGGAGATGGACAGTGTATTTCCAGTCAGTTGAGAGAAAAATATTTCCTGCTGTAGAAAACTTTTTGTTGTTTTGTGACTATCTTGGATTGAGTTTTCAAAATATTTTTGTGTTTGATGAAGGCCACAATTTATTGTGTATGGAGAATATTTTTCACTCCTGGTTAAATATCCATAAGTTTAGAAAGAAGTATAAATCACACATGTGTTGCTCTTACACCTTTGACAAACTGTTCTCTAGCTAGACCAGTTTGTATACATTGTACTGTGGATTATTCTATACTTACTCTCTCAGAATTAAGAGACCAGAACCAATTGTTGGAAGTTCAGATGGTTGATAATCCTTGAAGACCAAAAGCCATATGGGTTTTTATTTCAAATAATTTTCTACCTTGCTGTCTTCTGCCTGGCCATGTGTTGCTTTGAAATGGACAGTGTGGAAGGAAGGCCTTTAAACACCGGTCTCTGCTCAGGGTCCCTGCCTGACAGCCAATAAGCATTAAGCATTGGGACACTGAGGTCTTGTTGGTACCCACAACATGCCTTGTGGGGTGCTCTGTGTTTGTGAGGTTGATTGTTATAGGTGTTGCAGCCAACTGGACTGAGGAAAATTTGCTTTTTCTTCTGCCTTCCTTCACCTAACCTGGATTGGATGGATTTGACTCCAAATCTCTGCAAAGTCCTCTGTTACCTCCTAAGCAGCACAAGGCATAGTTGTCTCACAAGGCACCTTGGCTGTGTTCTTAGGGCTCTGCTATGTCCTGGACTCCGGTGGACACTGATGATTCTGTCCAGGTCAGGTCAAAGTTAACAAGTGAAATCTGCTGAGGCTAATTGAGTTTGGGAGCTGATTCTTTCCAGGGCCTCTAGGTAAGAGCCCTGCCCCCAACATATAGAAACGAAAACAAGAGAAAGCTGCTAAGCCAATGCTGTTTAAACTGCTCCATCTATAGTCAGGTCACACACAAACCCCACAGCTCCTCTGTGGATTCGGATGTTTGCTTCCACTAAATGAAGAGCAGGTGACAGTCTTTTCTTCTAGTCATTCCTGTCATTCATGTATCCTCTACTTCTCTTTCAACATACAGGCTCCTGGCATCTTGACATAACCATCAAGAGAACCCTTTAGGCTAGGGTTCTCCATGTTGTCCACATATCAGAATTGCCTGAATACCCATCTTAGCCCTTTCAGGTTGCTATAACAAAATACCAAAGATCAGATGGTTTAAAGACAATAGGAAGTTACTTTTCACAGTTAAGGGTTAGGAAATCAAAGGTCAAGGCAAATCTGTGATGAGGAAAACCTATCCTGTTTCATAGGTGACATCTTTGGTAGTGTCATTTCATGGTGGAAGGGGTAAGACAATTCTCAGGCCCCTTTTGTAAGGACACTAATCCCATCAGGGGACCCAACCATTTCCAAAAGCCCACCTCCTAAAATTATCACCAAACCAGTCTGCAGAGTGGGATAATCTAAGATGGGTTAGGAAAGGTGAGAAAACTGTATCACCACGATTGTTTCCTCCCAGAGCCTTCCACCAGTCACTGTGATTCACATTTTAGCTTCCCATTTCACAGGGCCCAATTAAAGTGGACAGCTTTTTTCATAGGTTCTGAGACCAGTGAAGAGTAAGACTGAAAGGCTGTGAGAGAAGCCGTAGTTAAAAAATGGATGCTGTCCTATAAATTAATGGGAGAAAAACCTAGATGCTGTGTCCTAGATATTATGCGTTTGTCATGTGCAGGACCCTTTGTTCAGTCCCCAGTGCCACGTTGCTAGGAGGGGATCTGAATGCTGCCCTCGGCATATATTAGTTTTGCATCAGCCTGAGGCCAGCAGTGTCAGTAGCACTTCTGATAGTTTTGATTCATGGCAATTCTGGTGAAGGTAGAGTAGAGGGATACTTCCAAACCTGATCTGGGAGACAATTAAGTGAGTATTGAACATGAAGAAAGTAGTTTTAGGCTACATTTAGAAGGTCATCAAAATAATTAGTCATGCTGTTGATAGAAGCAAACAAAACACCACAGCCAAATTTGAGTGAGCACATCCCAGGAAACAGAGCTAGGTTACTACAGGTTCCAAGTTCCAGGGTGGAAAAGTGTTATAGTCAGACTTTCTCTGAACCATCT